TTTATATATATATATATATATATATATATATATATATATATATATGCACATTATTTCATGTATGACTTATATGCATGAATTAATTATTATTAGATATATGTACTTTGTGTATACATGAACTCTAGAAAGTTCTAAAGCCTATAAATAAAACCTCTAAGATGAACATTGGTATATATATATATATGGAACATCATCCAGCACATTGTAACACTTCATAACATACTACGCACACTTAAGAGTTCAAACTAAAAAAAAGTTCAACCCTGTTTTGTTTTGATCAAAAAAAGAAGAGTGTTTCTATGGTGAAACTTTGGACTTAATCACATGCGCAAAGTTGGTTAGTGTCATATGACGAAATTGTTGGGTTGTTGTATCCTGGGGGATAAGTCAAATGAAAAGATCTGTTGTATCAAATTTGGCATTATTATTCGCAGAAAACTTGAATTTCATTAAAGAAAGTGAGATATTTGTGCCTCAGGATGTAGCTAAAGTGAAAATCTTCCCATTCTTATGTTTATTATTGACATTTTTAAGAGCAACCTGTTTGGCCTAATTTGTTTCAGAAATCATTCAGCATATTGGCTAAGAATAGTCAAGACAAACTACTTTTATTGATGCCTATGGAACCCACCATGTGCTTAACTGCAAATGTACAAACATATATAATTCCACAAAATTAGTCTAAAGGTGCACTAATAAGTTATCACATCAACAATTCATAATCATTTTCGATTGCTATGATCGTTCAATCAGTTCGACGTTTTAACCCTTGTGATTTCCACATTATTACATGAGGGCCTGCTGGGGAATTAATAGGATCAAAGGTACATTATGTATTGGTTTAAAGTCGTGGTATCGGCCATAGGCTGAGAGAACTCTGAGAAACATCGGTCACGATATTGCAGCGCGGCCTCGGACGATATGATCTAAAAATGATATATTGAACATGACGAGAGATTCATGTCATATTGTAGCGTCACGGAACTGTATCGGTCAATTTAGTGATGATAATTCGTTGACTCGGGACTAATTCAGATGCAACTCGGATGACTAGTGCAAGACTGACAATTTCAACTCAAGGTTTATACGTATTGCGTAACGGTATTGTCTCAGAAGATACCAAATCGAACAAAATTCGGCTGAATCGTATCGATTTGAACCATCCATAATATCACTGCAATTTTTAAGTGACAGCGAGGCAATGAAACAAGCAAACGTTCTCCTAGGAAGAACATTTCTGATAGCAAACAAAAGCTTTTTATTGTTGTTCGTCAAAGAAGAAACAGTAGAGAGTGACTCAAATTAATAAAATTAGTGTACGGTTTAAGAAGCCACGCCACTTTCATAATAATAATCACAAGAAAACTCCACCCATTGAGCAGCAGGCTGCAAGCTGGATCTTTCACCTTTTTTTTTTTTTTAAATCCAATCGATCTTTTTGTAGGCGTTTGCCCCCAATTCAATTGAGCGTTTCTTTATTTCATGTATTGGATTTTGTCGACTTTCTTATTGTAACAGGTTGTTCAAAAAGATTCCCATTCTTTCATCAAATATTTTGACTCTTTATGCACTTGAAAATGAAGAAACAAGAAGAAAATCATCAGGTTCTTCTTACTCCGAGACACTTGTAATGGAAAACCGGGGGAGAGGCAGGAGTAAGAGTAGGGTTCCGCACAACCGTGATAAATCTAGAGGTCGTTCAAGCTCGATGTCAAAAAAGGATGTTGAATGCTATTATTGTCACAAGAAAGGGCACATGAAGCGGGAATGTAGAAAACTCAAGTTCAAGGAGCAGAACAAAGAGAAAAATTCAGAGAAAAAGCAAATTGATACAGCTGTAGTTACCGATGATGAACTCATGATTATCCGTGATGATGCTAGCGTTAATTTGATTGGCCAAGAGACGGATTGGGTAATTGATTCTGGAGCTTCATTTCATGTTACTTCGCGGGCTGATTTCTTTACTTCTTACTCACAAGGTGATTTTGGGAATGTCCGTATGGGAAATGAAGATGTGTCAAAAATTGTCGGCATGGGTGACATTTGCTTGGAAACAAATATTGGATGCAAATTGCTGCTTAGAGATGTGAGGCATGTACCAGATATTCGACTCAATTTAATCTCTGCTGGAAAGTTAGATGATGAAGGCTACATCAACAATTTCAGTAATGGAAAATGGAAGCTCTCCAAAGGTTCTCTAGTGGTAGCAAAAGGAAAGAAGACTTGTTCTCTTTACACTATGCAAGCAAAAATCTGCAAGGGTGTTGTGAATACCTTAGAGAATGACTCATCCACTGATTTATGGCATAGAAGGCTTGGACATATGAGTGAAAAAGGATTGCAAGTTTTGTCCAAGAAAGAGCTTCTAGTGGGGATAAAAGGTACGCCTTTGAAAACTTGTGTTCATTGTTTCCATGGTAAACAAAACAGAATATCATTCCGTAGAAACATTGCATCTAGAAAATCTCATGTTTTAGATTTGGTACATTCTGATGTATGTGGTCCTTTGAAAGTTAGGACACTTGGTGGTGCTCTATACTTTGTCACTTTTATTGATGATCACTCTAGAAAAGTTTGGGCTTATACACTGAAAACTAAAGATCAAGTTCTAGATGTGTTTAAGATTTTTCAGGCCAAGGTTGAAAGAGAAACAGGTAGACAGTTGAAATGTGTTCGCTCGGATAATGGTGGTGAATATATTGGACCATTTGATCAGTATTGCACAAATCATGGTATCAGGCATGAAAAGACAGTTAAAAAGACACCTCAACAGAACGGGGTTGCAGAGAGAATGAATCGCACCATTCTTGAGAGAGTCAGATGTTTGCTCTCACATTCTAAATTGCCAAGATCCTTTTGGGGTGAGGCAATGAGGACCGCAGTTGATCTTATCAATTTGTCTCCTTCAGTTCCGTTGAATGGTGATGTGCCAGAGAAAGTTTGGACAGGGAAGGAAGTCTCCTATGATCACTTGAGGGTATTCGGCTGCAGAGCTTTTGTTCATATTCCAAAAGATGAAAGGTCCAAGCTTGATCCAAAAGCAAAGCAATGCATATTTCTTGGCTATGGGCATGAAGAATTTGGATACAGGTTGTATGATACAGTTGACAAGAAAGTTGTCAGAAGCCGAGATGTTGTTTTCTTGGAAGATCAGACTATTGAAGACATCGA